GGGAGAAGGTGAGGGCGAGGGCGAGGGAGACGACAGCGAGGTGTCGGAGGGTGAGGCCAGCGCTGACGACGACCGACCCCGCAAACGCGGACGCCCGCCCGCCTCGCATAGGGAGAAGATTAAAGGATTCACTGATCAAGAGGTAATTATTTATAATAAAGTTTTAGGTCAATTCAATCTTTACACATAAAATTGTGTTCAGAGCAGCGATTCAAAGATGATCTCCGACCCGCCAAGATGTTTGAAAATACAATAGATTGTGTAATGTTATTCAATAAATACCACATTGCATTTTTTCTATTCGCACGTCGAAAATTGTTTTTAAATTTAATGTTATTCACTATTAAATATCTATATTTTTGTTTTATGTATGCAAAATTATAATGGTGGAAGGGGATAGATTTGAATTTTTAGTGTGCTGTGCCATTAAATTTTACAATGTCGTGATCTTTAACAATTTTGGTGTACAATTTTTGAGGCTTTACTTAAGATGAATCTCTTTTTAGATCCGGAGGTTTGTTAAGAGTTACAAGAAGTTTTCTGCGCCGTTGAAGCACCTCGACAGTATAGCTTGCGATGCTGAACTTCAAGAGAAGCCCCTCGCTGAACTTAAAAAGCTCGGCGAGATTCTCCAGGAGCGGTGTAAAGCTGTGCTCAATGATACTACAGAAACTGCTAGTATGTTTACAATGAATTGTTTTGAAATTGTAAAATGTATGAGCATATAAATAAAATATCCATATACTAAAATTGTGCATTTCTAGATGAACAAAGTAATGGCCGCAAAAATACTAGAAAAACCTTTAAGCTTGGAGGTGTTCCTGTCAATGCCAAGACGATGGCGGCTTGCCAAGATGAATTGGCACCTTTAGATGAATTCTTGCCCGAAACAAAGGAGGAGAGACTCAAATGGCAATTAGATTTCAGGTGGGGAAAATATTTTGAGACTTGTAAAGAAAAAAGTGTTACCGCTTTGCATTTACACATATATTAATATATAATGCATAGCAAATGTTCCTAATTAATTATTATTATTCTAGGACAAGGCCTGCAAATTTCGATGTAGATTGGACTGTAGGAGATGATTCAAAGCTTCTTGCTGGAATATACCAATATGGTATGGGATCATGGGAGGCTATCAAAATGGATTCATCATTTGAAATTGGTGATAAAATTTTAACCAATGAAGACAAAAAACCTCAAGCAAAACATTTACAGTCCAGAGCTGAATATCTGCTAAAATTAATTAAGAAGTTATTAGATCAGAAAAATGGGAAGCAAAAGCAGAGGAAGCCAAGGGGAAAAAGAGGAAACAAGGAACCAGTCACTAAAGATATTGTGGAAGAGGATGGCACGTCAGGAGATGATAACAAGAAAAATAAAAATGCGAAAAACGATAAATCGGAAAAGGTATGTTCATATTTTTATTAACTTAATTTTAAAACTGCTTATACCTTTTGTGTAATACAATGTGTAATTGAAAGTTTACTAAAAAAAGTCTTTCTATTGAACAGAGCAAATCTAAATTGGAAGAAATTGCAATGCATGATGAAGCTTTAAATGATAGAAAAGATAAAGATAAGAAACGCACAAAGAAAGAAGGCAGAGATCGGACAAAGGGTGACAAAGTGAAAAGTCGGAAGAAACCAGCGGGACCCATGCATTTTACAGCCAACAATGAACCCAGGGCATTGGAAGTTTTGGGGGACCTTGATCCATCAGTATTTGAAGAGGTAAGAATTTGTTAAAAACTAGGTTACTCAATATTGCCTAAACAATTTTTTCATACATTTTTTATTTTTTATGATATAAAAATTTGGTTGCAGTGTAAAGAAAAAATGAGACCAGTAAAAAAAGCTTTGAGAGCTCTCGATAATCCTGATCAGACACTATCTGAATCTGAACAAGTATCAAGAACACGATCTTGTTTAGCTCAAATCGGAAGCCAAATAGATATATGCTTAGATGAATACCCAGACCCTGAGAAGAAAGTGGAATGGAGAAGTAATCTCTGGTATTTCGTGTCGAAATTTACGAATTTTGACGCAAAACAATTGTATAGGTTATACAAGTATGGTCTAAAAAAACCTATTGATGGGCCAAAACGTAAAGATGGAAAACACAAGGAAAACTTAAAAGTGAGTTCATTTTATTACTTTATTCTATTTGTATCTAAATAAAAGACTTATTTTTAGACATAGAATCCTTGAATAATCTTTTAGAGGATATATACGAGAATTTTTAATTATGGACATATTTTTAAAGCAGGACGGACACATTAACGCAGGATTTTAAAAAAATAATTTGCTTAAAAAATGTCTTATGAATCACTCGTGGATCCAAAAAATAAAAATTATCTAAGCCTTTCTATTATTATTAACGCTATCTATTTTTCAGGGTGGTAAAAATAATCTCATTTCTAATAACCATATAAACAAGTCATTTAAAAAGGATGCTAAGCCAGATTCTTCAAATAACAGAAAAGAAAAGAGACCAAAAACAGATAAAGACAACAAACCTGATAAAAGTAATGATAAAACTCCTCATACATCTGGAGTTAAAAGAAAATTAGAGGAAGGTGAATGTGATCCTGAGCCAAATGAAAATAAACGTCATGAAAGGTAATTTTCCACTATGTAAATGTCATGCATGTTCATTGCCATTTTCATTCTATTTTAACTTCCACTGACATTTTTCCATAAGCTCATCAATATTGCATCTTCCATACCCAGACATAAAGACAGAGATCGCAAGAATAAAGATAGCAGCCTGAAACGAGACGATTTGATCGGCAGAGATCGAGGCAGACCGGAGCGTGAGAGGGACCGCGACCGGGAGCGAGATCGAGACAGGGATAGGGACAGAGAGCGGGAGCGCGACCGGGAGAGAGACCGAGACCGGGACCGAGAGCGAGAGCGTTCCCGTACCCGTCGCGACAGCGGAGGCCTGGGACAGGCGCGAGTGCGGCCGCCGTACGGTCTGCCGCATCCGCACTCGGAGCACCAGCTGCACCCCGCGTGGACTCCGCCTGCCTACCCTGGACCCAGGCAGTACCGCGGCGATAGAAACACACGCCCTCACGACAAGAGACGGTAACTATTTACAGCAACATATAAAACTATAAAAATCAATTATTATCAGTTGATAATGTACATTTTTTTGTCACAAGATTTCCCACTGGTTATACCGCCATGGCAGGCCCGTACGCCGGGTACTACGACGGGAGTACGATGCCGGGTGGAATGGGTTTTCCTCCGGTGCGGCCGTATCCCGACGATTGGCGGAGCTACCCCCAGCCCGAGTACGCGTACGATGAGCGCGACTACGAGCGGGAGGTGTACAGGAGGGACTACGACCGACGGGCACCACCCACCTAGTACATGGAACTATATGACCTCTACAGAGGCTCCTTGTAAATATCAAATAAATTATATTGTAAATAAATAATAAATAGGGGATCTCCTTCCATGGACACAAGTTAAAAGTGTAAATGTACAGTGTAAGTGACAACATAGTGCTGTGGACATTCTCTATGTGATAAGTGAAATGAATTGGATAAAACTTTAAAATTTTACTCGTATGTACGACGACTGTGTTTATTAAGTGAGACTGTATAGTAAATTTATTTATTTACCGAGTCTGTCAAATATTGTTTGTGTATAAATTTTGCTGATTACCATTAATTTTTATATTTGTTCCAATTTTGTTGCCTGTTTACAGGTGTAAAACGATTTTTATTTTTGGTATCATAGTTTGTTATGGTGTATTTTAATGAATTGCCACAATTTCAACACTAGCTATTTAATTTGACATGAATGCAGGTGATATACTTAGGTCATAGTTAATGTACAAAAATTAGTATTTGTTAGTAGACTTCATATATCTTAAATCATGTACAATTGAGAACATCTTGTATAGCTAGTTGGAAGGGAGAGGGGATTTGTCATTGCATTTTAGCAGTGTATATGAGAGAATGGTGTTTGATTTGTACTGTTAATTTCTCAATATGTGCATTTCTGAGTCCTGATAGGACTCACACAGTGTCCTATTTTTATACATTATGTAAAAGTCTTATTCTCTATTACATGCAATTGATTGTAATAAAGAGTGGAAGCGTCTTTATGGTATTAACCATGATAATAAACATATAAAAATTTTAATCAAGTGTATTTATTGTGTGAATCCTTTAAAAATATTGTAAAGTATGTATGAATTAAAAAATGGTGAAATATTGAGTGTTTCGTTATCCTCATCTAAACTTTAATATATCATCTAAAAATAAAACAGTTTGTGATTGCATCAGTCATTTCCCATTTTAATCAGATTAGATCAAATTTCGCAGTTTTTTTTTGCAGCAGCACCATAAAAAGAGATGTAAATAAATATTTGCTATTAAAATTGCGCAGGCGCAGTCTAAAACTATAAAAAACAGACGGTTGGGATTACGTCCTTTGCAAAGCAGAATATCAGGTTTAGGAAATAAATCACCAAAAAGTTATTATTTTGGTCTTAGCCAATATTAAGTCAAATCCTCACTCCATGGGCCTAACTGGGACACCTAGGTGCGATTTATAATTGGACATCATTGTCTAGCATAAATTCTGCATATAAGCATAAGATCCTGGTGAAAGTTAATTCTTGTGCTGTATTTTATAAAATCTTAAAAAAAATGCAAATAATAAAAATAAAATTAATACTTCCTTCTTAATAGAAGCCACATTAAAAAAGCGATAAGAAAGTTTCTACATCAAAGTTCCTCTCTGTATTAAAAAAAAAAACTAATTTCCTGCCTATTTTCCACGCAATACCTTAAGACTGGTAGGTAACTATATAACTAATATACGTACTCATAAAAAAAATTGTTAAGGTCATACATAAGGGTGGATCGAAGTAACTGCAAATAATTACTTGGTACTTTTGGAGTGGCAGACTTGAGAGTGCGGATTTATCACATTAACCCCATTGAAACGTAATGCGCATGTTCGCACCGACGTCATTCAGCAAGAAAGGTATACAGCTCGATTAAACGCGGCCAGTTCATTGTTAGGGAATTGAGACGTGTTCAGGACAGATTAAAATTATTCTGTGTATATTATAAATTACAATGATATAATCAGTTTCAGTGAGTGATTTCGTCAACAGGCGGTAAGTCTCAAAATGTCTTATTTTCTTCTGTTCAACAAAGTGTATACTAATTAGATTAATTTGAAATGCGTCACAGGTAATATTGATTATGTCTCGAGATGTTAACTTTTCTATCAAATATTCATATGCTCATCTTATGTCTTAACTAAGCGATTCCTATTTGGTGTATATTGTATTTGATACCTTTATTGAACAGTCAGTTTTAAATACAAAATTAGATTTTAATTAAATACAAATTGGGTAATTATTAATATGTATTATTTTGGGTTTCAGTTTATAATAATAATATTTTTGTAACTCCGAACTAAACTTTTACTTTTAATTCTTGTTTTTATGACCTTACATATTATAAAAAAAAACATTGTATATCTACAGATAACAGATCAGTGGAAGGATCGCATGGGAGGAACCATGTGTCGCTGGATTTAGCCGGAACATGTTAATCACCAGAGTGACGCTGTTTCACGTATTATTGGCGACTGCATTTGGTTGCTATCTCTTTCCCAGTGGTAAGAATACATTTTGAGTATATGCAGCTGCATTGGTATTGGACAACGACCTTAAAGATGTAATTTGTACGGCATCAGACGTGCCTGACCCGTGTCGTGGCGTATCGTGCGGTCCGGGAGAGACGTGTCGTCCGTCATCGGACGGGCGTTCGTACCACTGCGAGTGCCCCGCGTCGTGCCCCAGCTACGGTGATCACGAGGGTGCGCGCCCGCTCTGCGCAAGCGATGCCCGCGACTACCCTGGCGATTGCGAGATGCGACGCGCCGCATGTCAAACCAACAGTAACATCACGTTCATGTACTACGGTAAATGTGGTAAGTGTACAGTATATACAACTTCTTTCTGTTTTACTTTCATTGAAGCTTTTAACCTACGGCTAATAAATTCAAATTCGCATCTCTTGTTTGTTCCAGATCCTTGCGCAGGTGTAACTTGCCCCGAACCCGAGGTGTGCCAATTAGACGAGCGACGGCAGCCGGTGTGCCGCTGCGCTGAACCCTGCCCGCTGGAGTTCTCGCCAGTGTGCGCTTCCGACGGCAAGACATACTCCAACGAGTGCCAAATGCACCGCGAGTCCTGCCGCGCCAGGAAACAGCTGAGAGTCATCTTCAAAGGACAGTGCAGTTCCGGTTAGTTTAAAGACTTTTATTTGACTGTACTTACAATGTGCCTGACAGTAGGATACCTCGCAACGTGGGAAAAAAATCGATATTAATCGACATCAATTTAGTAGTTTTTTACTTCTACAACACGTTATTAATCAGGCGTGAACCCGTGCTCTGCGGTGGAGTGCCGGCACGGGGCAGAATGCCGCGTGGAGGAGGGCGGCGCGGTATGCGCGTGCGCGGCGTGCGAGCCCGTGCTGCGGCCCGTATGTGGCTCGGACGGGCGCACTCACAATAGCGACTGCGAACTGAGGCGCGCAGCCTGCCAGCTGGGCCGGGATATCAAGCTGCTGCACGCCGGGGCTTGCGGTAACACGCTCATATTTATACGAATATTATTACTTATTTATTCTGTCACAGTAGCTGCCGATCGCTCTATGTTCCACTTATACTGTTTGAGGTCTATTCGCCATCATATCACCATGTAATATTTTTATTTTTAAACGATGAGATAAAACTTTTTGTTGCTGTGGCTGTGTGCAGGTTCTAGCGGGGTGTGCGCGGGGCGCGTGTGCCCGCACGGTGGCGAGTGCGTGGGAGCAGGCGGTGGTGCGCGCGGGGAATGCCGTTGTCCGCGCTGCTCTGCTGAGTTCGCGCCCGTCTGCGGCTCCGACGGCATCTCCTATGGCAACCGCTGCACGCTGCAGCTTGAGGCCTGCCGGCACCGCAGGGACGTCAAAGTACTCTATGACGGACCCTGCAGTATGTAACGAAAACTATTATTATACTATTTGTGTTAACTGCTGATCTAATCTAAACAATACAAATACTTTATTAGAGTTGGGGACAAGTAATCAAACTGAATTTATACTTTTTGTAGACGGCTGTGAAAATAAGAAATGTGAACATTACGCAGTCTGTGAAAGCGACGGTGTTTCTGAGGCCAGTTGTGTGTGTCCGAAGCACTGCGAAGAAGGCACAGTAAGTAAAGATTTGTGCATTGCTTTGTAACGATTCTACTTTTAATCAATTGGTTCGATTTTCCATCAATAATCTATTATTGTCATCATAAAAGGAAACAGAAGAAGCGTGCGGCAGCGACAACCAAACTTACAGCAGTGTGTGCGCGCTCCGCGATGTCGCGTGCCGGGAGAAGAGGCACCTACATGTTAAGCACATGGGCTCTTGTGGTAAATATGCCTATCTAATGTCACATAGTTTCAATTGAACCTAACAGAGATACGTAGTTGTCACAAACTTTGAAATACATTACTAAGAAGCTTCACGAAGAAGTTTTGTTTAGTGCTCTTTTTTATTACAGAGAACGAGTCATATCTCATGTAGCAAAGTAGAGATCGAAACCTATTTGTGTGGGACGAATCTTTTGCTTTCCTAACAATTTCAACAAAAGTTCATCTCTGAAACCTCTTATTTTGATAGAGTCGTGTGCTGAGGTGAAGTGTCCGAGCGGCACATTCTGCGCGCGGGGCACGTGCGCATGCAGCCGGTCGTGCGCCGGCGCACCGCACGCCCCTGTGTGCGCGGACAATCTGCACACGTACGCACACGAGTGCGCGCTGCACAACGCAGCGTGCGAGGCACGTGCGCGCGGTGAAGCACCACCCCGACTCGTGCACCACGGGGATTGCGTAGAGAAGGATAATGGTGAAGGTAAATCCTAAGTAGAAAGTTTATTATTTGTCATTCAATAGTGAGCACAATGGAACGAAGGGTTTTTTTTCCAAAGAAGTAAGCATAATGCCATCTACTGTATCTACGAGTATATGTAACTTTTCGAGGCAGGTACAGCTTTTGCCCCTTGCAAGATTTTGTGTCAAGAAATAGATGTCGCTGTAACAAATCGCGAACATAAAATTAAAACACTGAAATGAAATTGAGAAAAAATAATAAATTGGAAAGTAATGTGGCAAAAGATTTCTCAAATAAGTTTTCTAAACCGATAAATATTATACTTAATTTAACAACTTTTAGATTTTTGAGATGATGAGTACTTAATATGATTTGAGAAGATAGTTTGCTTGATAGATTATGGTGGGTACTGTGAAAAAAATTGTAGGTACAAACAAAACAGCGAAGAACGAGTCTAACGATATCCGGAGCGTAGCTGAGGCGGAGAGCGGCGACGATAGCGGGGGCGCCGTGTGCGCGCGCGTGCGGTGCGCGTACGAAGCAACGTGCGCAGTGCAAGCGGGACAACCTCGCTGCGCCTGCCTCTTCGACTGCGCCGCTGCTGCGCCTGCGCCCGTCTGCGCCTCCGACCTGCGGCTCTACCCCACGCTTTGCCACATGAAGCTGGAGGCTTGCCGCCGCCAGGAGGATCTCAGGCTACGTCCCCTAGCTCTCTGCAAGGGATTAGAGGTTACTTCATTTATAAAATAAGAAAATTATTAAACAAGTTGGCAAATATACGAGTAACATAGATTCGAATGAAATTCTATCGATTAAGAGGGATTCTTTATTGAGGAAATAGAATAAGATTAGTTATGATAATTTTGTATTTTGATTACAAGAAACCCATATCAGCAGTTTGCTTATATCTTATTTAACATCATTAAACTTATAAAGATTTAGCGAGCGAAGAAAAACATTTGTAAAATTCTAATCCAAACATGTGCGATTGTTGGGAAATTGTTTTGTTTGCTCTTTCGTTCGCGTAAAGTAACCAAAATGTATTCAAGTTCATAGTCAAAGTACGTGCTCAATCGTTTGTAAATGAGCTTATTGGAAAGAGCTCAATATGAACTTTAATAAAAAGAAATATTTTATAACTCATACGTTAGCAGTAACTGAAATATTGCTTAATTTTTATAACATGTGCCGAGAATTGTGTTGATTTGCCTATTTTGAGAAAAACGCTTGTACTTATCCTTTTTACAGTGCGCAAGGATAGGCCTATTTTCCACTAAACAATTAGTCGCGCGTTATCGCTTATCAATATTTTGCTTAGTTCCGGCCGTGCGGGGACGACGAACCGCTGACGGATGGAGAAGGGCGCGTGCTGGACTGCGGCGGCGGGCCGCGCCGTAAGGATTGCCCCGTCGGGAGCTACTGTCACCACACTGCTAAAGCTGCCACATGCTGCAAAAAAGGTACAGTAAGAAAAGAAAAAAAGATTATTATTTAAAATACAATTGCTACAATTGATGATTTTGATTTTAATTCTTTGTTAATAATTTTATGTTGTTTTAAATTCTACAAAATTCTTTCTTCTGCATATTCGATATATCGTCAGAATTCTGTCGTTTTTTTACAATGTATAAATTGATGTATAGATTAATTTAGACAGATCGGATGGATGGAATGGATTCATTCAAGCGAACGGCAGTAACCGCAGGGAAAACGTTGAAAAATTCGTTTACTTTTTCCAAAATTTTGAGCTTAATGTATTGCCCAAAATTTTGACAAAGAGTGCACGAAGAAACGTTTACGCAGCGTAGTAGAGATGCAAGTTTATCGTCCAGGACTGTACTATTCAAGCTGTCGTTGTTCCGGACAAGACGTGTTGAAGGCTACTTGAGGCAACTCTTATTTTAATATCTCAAAATATTTATGTAGTAAATTTTGAAAGGTGGGTAGAAAATACTTATAATACAATGAGTGTTTTTTTAAGAATTGTTAGGGAAAAGTTTAGTTAGTCATCGTTGCCATCTCTATTTCAATTGGTGGTTGTCCAGAGCTGGGCGTAGGCGATGCAAGATGTTACGTTCAATATGCGAGCCATCGGTCGTCATAAAAAATGGACTGCTTTAACCTCAATTGGTTTATCTAGTATTCAGATTTTTTTTACGAAAAATTCAATTTATTTTGCTAATATTTAAAAATAGAAATTGGGAGGAAAGAGTACACTTACCTACCCTTTCCATATTGGGGCTACGTCTCTGCATAAAGCATTTAAAATCTGCAACAAGCGGCTATTAAATGCTGAACGTGTAATCATGATTTTGTCCCGAGGCGGAGCATTCGCAGCAAAAATACAACGAGAATACAACGCGATGCATTTTCATTGTAAAAATTCACGATGGGAGAGCGCCGCGCCGCGCCGCGCTAAATATATTGCACAACAATAAATTACATGTCAGCACTCACGGCCTTGCATTTTGCCGGACGATCCGGCACTCAACTTGACACATTTAAGAGTATAACTCATTTCCTTAACATTTAAATTCACACCTGCAAAATTCCAACACGGCGATTTAAGCCTGAGAATGTAAGAGGAGCTTTTTTGGAACTTTGATTTATGTGTACCGGTAAATGCTGCTAAAATACTCTACGAATGCTCTACATTCTATTGCATGATGTAATATATTTGATATGTATAAGAGAACAAAAGATAAATAAGCAGAAATTATATATCGTTATCCTTCTTTTTTTATTAATTATGTTAGTAGCTTTTCATTACTTAATGCATATTCTTCACCGCTGTGTCATATACAACCGGGGGGGATCAGGAGATTTTTTAATTTGTGTATTTCTTGTCTCTTATAGTTAGATTAATTTTATTGTGTTTTGTGGCATGTAAACAATGATTTCAGACAAGGCAGTTGCAGAGAAGGAATGCCAGGAGTCGTGGCACGGTTGTTGCGCGGACGGCGTGACAGCAGCGCGCGGGCCGGGCGGCGCCGGGTGCCCCGCGCAGTGCGGCTGCCACAGGCTGGGAGCGGTGGCGGAACGCTGCGACGAAACCGGCCAGTGCATCTGCCGGCCCGGCGTCGGCGGGCACAAGTGCGACCGCTGCGAGCCCGGATACTGGGGACTGCCACGCATCGGAACCCTACATGCTGGCTGTATACGTTAGTCATTTGACTTCTGTTACTACTTTATAATTACAAAAGCAAAAAAAAAATCACATAGCGTTAACAACAAGTTAATGTTTATACTCAGCATGCGGATGCTCCGCTTTCGGCTCCGTCCGCGAAGACTGTGAGCAGATGACGGGGCGGTGCGTGTGCAAGCCCGGTATACAGGGCCAGAAGTGCACCGTCTGTTCCAACCACGAGCACACGTTAGGCCCTAATGGCTGCTTCGATCGTGAGTATTACCATAATATTTCGATTTATATTCACTTCGCTCAAGTTAACAATTCGATGAAATCTGCTATTTTATACTGATTTTATTACTTTAGCTGAATCGACTCAACTGCCGGCGACGAATTGCGAGCTACTAACTTGCTACTTCGGCGCATATTGCGTGGTACGAAGCGGGCTGGTGACATGCGAGTGCGCCGCGCCCGAGTGCCCGGCCGGCGAGGGACCCGCCGTGTGTGGCAGCGACGGACGCAGCTACGTGTCAGCGTGTCACCTGCGCGCGCACGCTTGCCGCACGCAGGCCGACGTCGTGGTGCAGGCGTTCGGCGCGTGCGGCGAGGGAACGCCCCATGTGCGGCGAGGTAGTCGCTCCGCCGGTAGCCGCTCGACTCCCACGCATAACATCACCCGCACACTATCACCCAATCCCGACATCCGTATGGATACCAAATATCCGAGCTCGAACTCATTGCAGTACACCGACGCCTCCGTAGACACTAGCGATAGCGGCAAACCCGACAGCCCCGAGCCCGAGTTGTCGTGCGTCGATGTTCTCCCGCCCGCAGGATACCGCTAGTAATCGAACACTAGTCGAAGGTAGAGGCACGAGTAGTAGCTGTAGAGAAACTCTTAAAACTTTTTCATTATTAAAAATCTTTATCGTATCTATTGATTAATTCGCAGATAAGATATATAATTCATATAGGCCCATGTCGGTCAACGACGATTACGAAGATATATGCATGAAAAAGACTACCGAGCATCACCATACGACTTTTTACGATGATTTCGAGGAGCAGTACATAACGAACGAAGTCGACGATTACTATCCGCTGTACGAGGAATATTACGATGGACGGGAAAAGGACGCGTATATTGCGCCATTATTCGACGGGCGGGCTCACATGACGGCGCGCACGAGGCTGCCCGCCAAAAGTTTCGATATATGGGCCGAGGTGTCGGCCGTTTGCGGCGGGGGCGCGTTAATGAGCGCCTCAGGTGTGAGGGATTATTTATGGGTCGGCTTCGTGGAAGACAAGGCGGTATTGCGGTGGGACGCAGGGAACGGCCCTTTGGAATTACGTTCCGGCAAGGTCAGAATGGATGGGAGGTCTAAATTATCTGCGAGGAGATACAAGAAGGACGCGTTGCTAAAGTTGGGAACCGCCGCAGCGAGGGGCTCTACGCACGGACCCATGAGCTCGCTCAACATCGACCCGTATGTCTTTATTGGCCGCGCCCCGGATAATGTTACCCTGTAAGTATACTCACCATATTTAGTGTAAAAGGTTATTACCATTGTTACTCTGGTTACATTTTTGAAAAATATTTACACCGCTTGTAAAGGTTATCTGGTATGAAGATCCCGGGTTTCGTTGGCTGCGTACATCGGTTGCGGATTAGCGGGCGCGACATCATCCCACCCACGCGCGGCATGCCCGTCACCACGCACGGAGTCCGGCCCTGCACTCCACATAACCTTGCGCAACTCGTGTGTCCTTAGCTACTCAAATTAGCTACGATATTAACCAAATACTGAAAATATTACGACCATAAAGAAATATAATATATTTAAGTTAGGGTTAGTGAGATTCGAACTCGTTTTTCACTTTATTAGAATTTAATTTCTTACGTCCTTAATGACATTACCCTCGCTAAAATCGGTTCAGTTTTAGGCTCTAGGCCATTGTAATGGAATTTACATACCCACAAACAAAAAAAAACAAACAAACAAAGGGGGGTTAAACATTACCCTTTTGACAGTCGGTTAAAAGAGCGTTTGAACTTTTTAAATTACCAATTCATCATTTCAACTTTTAAGGCACCAAAGTGATATTTGTAATTAATATAGTAAGTAAAACTTCGATAAGTGTTTGAAACATTTTAAATTAATCTTATATAGACTTCTATTTCAAAACAGTTTAAACATATCTTGGAGTAATTTATAAGAGTCAAAAATAGTTTGGTGTTTTATCTTTTGAAATTTGTCAAGTTCTTTGTAAAAATTTTAACATATTATACGACGGCAAAGTAAAAATGGCTTCTTTCATTTGTAATGCCCTCTTTCATTACCTTGAGTAATGTAATGATGGACGAGATAAATTTCTCCGTTCCTGTCAGTTTTCATGGCCGACCCATTATATCCTTATCAACATTTCTCTTTCCTCCTTCCTTTATAATCCTTCTTATCGCTGTCTACTTTATAAAAGCCACGAAATTATTCTGTTATAAGAGCGAGTGAAAGCGACCTATTAAAACTTTTTGAGCTGTCCTTATAAATAAAGGATTAATAAATTTAAAATACCTTGGAGTTGGTAAGTATTTATTTTTTATTTTAACAGCTTTTGTGACCGATATTACGAAAAATGGTTTACCTATTTTTTATAGAATGTTTTTATGATAAAATATGATTTGATCGATAATATACTACGGCAATTTTATTTATTTACTACCTGTCGCCCGCGACCCCGTCCGCGCGGAATTATAAAAAACCAAATATCATCAAAAACCATTGCGCCATTTCGAAGAAACCCCTAAGCAAACATCCATCTAAACTTTCGCATTTATAATATTAGTAAGATTAGTTTAGATATCTACATACACGTAAAAAGGTGAGTTAGATTCAAATATGTTCAGTTCAGTAGGATAAAGATTTATAAAGTTATAAAGATTATTGTAAATTAAAATTTAGTTACCTTAAACAGTTTTGCTTAACTTAGGCACTTATCGTGAAAATGCTTGCATGTAGCATTTGTTATTACGAATGGACATTACCAAATCCTCATGTATATATGATCCCCCTTTAAAGGCGTGCCCATAAATTTGAACATCGGATTTATAGCTGGATTCCCGTTAATGTCAATATTTCCTGAACGATCTCAATAAAGCTCATTGATATCCTGCCATCATGAGAAATGTTATTCGCAGATATTGTATTGGTAACGTAATATTATTGGATTATTTTAATTTTTTATACAACGTATATGATTCCAACACTAACCAAGTTGCCTGACGCTTATGAGATTTTCTAATCCATTTACAATTGTATTCTTACTAATATTACAAATACGAATGTTCTGATGGATGGATGGATGTTTGTTTGAAGATATCTTCAGACCGACTAAACGGATCTCGATGAAATTTGGCATCCATATTAGACTAGAAAAATACAGACTACTAATTATGTTTTTTTTTTAATTGCGCGCAAACGGATTCGCTGGCGACGGCTAGTAGTGTTTATGAAATTCACTAAGTTAATTTCCATGTTGAATTATTAATTATACTAATCTAGTACAAAATTAGAAACTATAGGAACTCCTTGACCTGTATTGTTTTCTTCAACAGTTTCTTCAGTAAAAGAATAACAATTGATTAATTCAACTTTCTTTTAATTTGAATTATTTTTAATAGTAGTATAGTTATATAACGACGTCATCAATTTCTAATATTAAATTCTTTTAGTGATTAAATTACTTTCAATTAAACTGAAATCAAATTTGTCATATTATAATGAAGACTTTATGAATATTGTATGACCGTCTGTCGGTGTGTAAAGGGCATCGTTAAACTTTTATGACATTTCATCGTGTCCGAGCACAAAGGGTAAGTCTTCCGTCAGAACAGACATATTATCCGTTCGGTAACCGCGACCCATTATTTGTGGTCAAAGCAATTTATTACCATTTACCGATATTACATATCAATGTATGTATAAATTCTGTCAGGATTTTATTAATATTTCAATATGGTAGACATTTAAATACATCAGAGCGTCTAGCAAGAAAATTTGCGAGAGTATTCGTAACGTAATCAACAAAATGTGTCATAAGTTTTATGAGATTTGTCGTTGTATTTACGCCTGATAGGATGCGCTGTGCAAATCTAATACACGAACACTTTTACACAAATTTTTGTACTATTCGCCTTGAGCATGTAACCAAAATTACATTTAAATAGCTATATCGCTAGTAAAATCTACTAAATGTATACGAATGAAAACGTGGCAAGCACTGGATATATCGAAAGTCATTGTCAGTTCCATACACTTTTAAATTTTCGATTAGCGACATCTAGTAGAATATATCTAGGGTTAGTTTCGTTTGATGGATGAGATCTCACAGGCCTATTTACTTTGTATTCTATTTATATACAACGTGACATCTGAAGGTTCTTATTTCACATAATAATATACAATATAGTAATATATATCTAATTTTATACCACCTACGTGAAAGCTAGTAATAATGTCATATGCGTCTTCTCATCTTTATTTGTCGCTAAAAGAAAATGTTAACTGTATTTTGCTGCTATCATCAATCTATATATATAAAAATTAATTGCTGTTCATTAGTCTCGCTAAAATTCGAGAACGGCTAAACGGATTTATCTTATCTCGGCCTTGAAATGTTTGTGGAGGTCTGTGAAAGGTTTACAAGGTGAGAAAAATTCGAATGATTGCCGGGAACTAATTAAGTTTTTTTTTTCATTCCACGCGGGCGGATTCGCGGGCGACAGCTGGTTACAAATATTAATAGTTTTAACCGCATTAGCAGGATAACAGTCATAAGAGTTAATTTTTTTATTACTCAACCAAAATGATGTATGGGTTATGTTTGTGAAAGATACCAAAGCAACGCCAGGTGTAAAGTTAATACGCTAAGCGGGGACATTAATTTTATCATAACAATTGCTCGTTCAACCCGCCTCATACTAATACAGCTAAAAGCCTCTATTCATGTCTCATATTACGTCGGGATGCCATTCGTCCTAATGTGAATTGTTAACGAAATTGAATAACGATGATTAAGAATACGTTCGTGAAAGCGATTTTCGAGATTACGTTCCTAAAATGAATTCCTGGATACAATTAGCTAACAGCTCTGTGGTAATGTGAATTTCACTATTCATGGAACTTTGAACGTTAATGATTAATGATTACCAGTAAAGAGATTATAAGTAAGCAAAACTCATAGGCTAACTATTAATAAACTAGCTTTTTCCAGCGACTCGTCGACACAGAATAATAAAAAAAACTGAAATAGTAGCCTACGTGTTCTAGACTATGTTCTACATCTATGCCTTACAACGAGATTCTTTGAGCAGTTCTAGATATATGTATATATTTGTGTAAACATCAGACTTGAGTTGATTGATGCTACGAGTACTTTCAGCACTGTTCTAGCGCTACGCGATGAAAATTTATTAACATTTAATGTCGCCTTTGGTACTTTAGAGAATTGTATAATGGATTACATCATATACATGTGTTCCACACGTGTCGATCCAATTTTATGTAGTTGTACATATACAAAATTTCCTACTAATTTTATGTTACATAGAAAAAGAATAGCTTCGGTGGCTTAGGGGTCAAGCACTTGACTTGTAATCTGCAGGTCCTGGATTCGATTCCCGCCATGTACCAACGTTTTTTTCGATTTCCGATTAACATATGTAAATTTATCCGACGTTCTTACGGTGAAGAAAAACATCGTGATGCAACCTGCACATATCTGAGAAGAAATTCAAAGATATGTGTGAAGTCAACCAACCCGCACTTGGCCAGCGTGGTTGACTATGGCCTAATCACCCCTAACTTAGGGTAGGCTCCGATGGCCTCGTTAGGGATGTATAGTGAGCTGATGATGAGAAAAAGAAAATTAAAAGATAATCATGAAGAATTATTAAGATAACTATACTTATAATCTTCTATGAATATATCATACGCTATTAAGTTAATATTCTTTTCTTACATAGATAGAAAATACTTAAGTCTTTTCTCTTACAATTTATGTTTAAACTAGCTATCGTCTTTGACTCAGTTCGCGCATAATTTAATAAAACACTAAATAAGGAGCCTAAGTGTTGTTCCTGACTATGTTTTATATATGGTAAATTTTACCGAGATAAATTGAGCCGTTCTAGAGATACCTTCAAACAAACATTCATCCATCTAATCTCGCATTTATAATATTAGTAAGATTAATTACATATTTTGTAACTGATATCAACTTTACATTGTTTTTTGTCATTACGTAGAGCATATTTTTATTGCCTCTGTTATATAACATTAATGAAAAATGACTGTCGGTTTTGTAGAAACAAAAAACACGCGGATAGAATAAACGATGCTTTAGAGTAAAAGTTTTTAACTCCTATTAATAAGACAGTTCTGTCACGATGAAAAATGAGGCGCTACTTTACATAAACGGATTCGAGGCACGTCCGATGCCAGTACTTAGTCCGAATAGCTGAAATGTACGGGGTGAAAATAATAAGTGATCTACAGGCACCCTTCAAAATTACCAACGTTATGGGTTAACCTAGTTTCATAGTGTCACTATTAGATAGTTGTATTTTAAAAGAGACGTACCTTTGTGAATCAGGACTTTGTAAAATCGATTTTTTTTAAAATAAAAGGTGGTAAAGGAATAGGGGGTTAACCGGATAGCGTTAAAATAAGTAAGCTGTAAGTTACAATTTTAAGGAAGTCTGTTAGAGTTTAATACTTTAAAGTTGCCTGACGCCTCGTTCTACGTACGACGAGTAGTGTAGGTTAATATTTTTATGAAACATAATCATCGCTGTCTTTTAATACCTTTTGTTATTTAGGTTGGATTATTAACAATGATCACACGCCACATAAAACGGAATTTAATGTTAACTATGAAAGCTTTTAAACAGCTGGTACTTTAGCGATAATGCGTTGTTTACTGCATAACATTTTCATAGCGCGACTAGCTCTCGACATTGTTAGAATTTTCATACGGGTTAATATCAAGAGGGGCTGAGGAATGTTTAATTACTGTTGTGACATCCTCGGGCAGGC